AGGGGGAATTGTCAGGGGGCGATTCTTCTACTATTCTTGAGTATTTGGGGGAGTATGTTCTGGGCATTTTTGATTTTTTTCGTCCAGAATCCGCCTGCAGGGGGACATACCCGACCTAACACTCGTCTTGACATTCGTCGGCCTTCGGGTGCACCAGGGCCTGCGATGGTCGGCGGCCCTGGCGTGCCCTCGGGCTCCAGGCGGGTCCCCCCCCCCACCCGGCCCGGCGTGCGCAATTAAGGAAGGTGCTCCCAGTTTTTCCGGTGGCGTCTCGTTGCCCGTATGCCGGCTCTCTGGCACAGATGCGGGTATCATCGGACAGCCGACACCAGCGCCAAGGTGCCCTACAGTGGAGACCCATGCCTAGAAAAAACACCCTGCTTGCCTCCAGGGTGCCCTTGGGTTTCTTGGGTTTCGACGGTTCTGCCATGAAGAGCGCGACGTTCCCACCACAAATCAAGGGACGCCCTGGGGCCGGGCCGGGCGAAAGGGGGGGATTGGGAAAGGGGGGGGTACGAAACTTGCTGCATGCAGCTGGCTTCGGCCTCACCGAGGGGCCCACTCCTCGATACATCGCCGCCTCCGGCGCCGGGAGGCGCCGGGAAAATCAGCTACGTGAGCTGATTCTCAAACCCCCCCTTTGCTCAGGAGGGGAAAAACCACACAGACACAATCAATCGGCGATCCCCAGAAAATATTGGAAAATATGGGAAGTGGGGGGGAAGACAGAAACCAAGAAAATATGGGAAAATATAGGGATTATTTTTATTTGTGTGTATTTATTTGTGTGTCCCAGTTCCCCTTCATTTGCTATCCCCCCCTTTCGCCCGACCCGATGGGGTCTCAGGGCTGGGTTTCCGGTGGGAGGCTCCTCGTGGGCGCGCCTCCCCTGTAGGGTTGCGGAGCTTCTGAGGGGCTGCCCGGTCCTGCGAGGACGTTGCCGGCATGGTTCGGTCGGGCCTGTCCCTCGACACGGGGAGTATTCAGAGATAGTCAAACATAGTCAGGGGACGATGTTTGAGTATTGTTGTTGACCATGTTTGAGTATGTTTTGAATATTCTTCAATTTTCGTCGAAAATCCCGCTGTATGGGGACACGCCCGACTGAAGGCTGAGGATCCGGAGCGCTTGGCTGAGGCCGCCCCGGTCCCGCCGCTGCCCGTGTCCTCTTGTCCTCTCGAGAACGCCCATCGACATCACGCATCCAAGCCACAAGCTTGAAGTCGGGCCTGTTCCTCGACAGGGGGAAAATTCAAAAATAGTCAAAACATAGTCTGGGGATAATTTGTTTTAGTATTGTTGGGCATACTTCGAATATATATATATATATAATTCTTAATTGTTCGTCCAACACCCCCCTGTAGGGGGACAGGCCCGACCTAACAAAAGCTTGATCGACACACCAGATGAAAGCATGAGCGCCGCCGTCTGCTGAGCCTCGGTCGTGAGGGCCACTGATTTCTCTGCCCTTTGTCCATGAATTCATCGGGAAGACTCCAGATTTCAGCGCTCGTCGTTGGCTGGTGGGCTCTCACGGGATGGCCTCGTCGGCGGGTTTCTCACGCGATGCTCATTTTTTTCTCCCAAATTCTCTCCCCTGCGATTTCGGTCAACCAGGACAGGTTCGATCCGTTTCAAAACACAGACGTAAATTCAACAATTGTTTTTTTGGTCTGTATGTCTCTAGCGATCCCGGCTATCGATGTGACGGTCTCCCTATTTATCGGTCTAGCTACCCATCCGTCGGTCCCAAGATCGAATCACCAATCGCTCTCACTATCCAGCTGCCTGCGGCGAACCTCGCAACCGCGCCTGTGCAACTGCTCAGCAGGAAGGAGGCTGATTGCAGGAACAGCGCAATTCCGACGAGTAGTCAGTCTGCATTGGGACGGGTCGTGGTCCTGACCTCATCTTCGTCTGCGAGGTAGGGAGGAGGAGGAGGAGGAGGAGGACGGATGAGGAGGAGGACGAGGAGGAGGGAGGAAGACGGAGGAGGAGGACGAGGAGGAGGACTAGTATAAACCCAAGACCCATCAACGATGTTGAAATACATCCTTCCTCCAAGATCCCGAAGATCCCTTTTCATAGGCCCCTTCAAGGGGTCATTCCCACTGGTGGACTTGCCCCGAGTGAACCTCTTGAAGCGTGCCGGAACACCATTCTCAGGATTTCATCGCCACGAGTTGACTCGAATGCTTCGTCTTGGCGATCCTGACCTGGGGCTTCAACACCGCGAATCAACGTGCCTGTTGCGACCTTGCAATCCTGCGTCGTTCCAAAGAACCAGTTTTGGTACATTGACCATGAGAGTCAGTGAAGGCCAGGCCAGGTCAGGCCTGTATGCCCATAAGGGGCGGCCACATAGGGCACAGGAAGGGAAAGCACTGCAGGTTCTGCGGCTGGCGCTGCAAACAAGGTCGTGCGAATCGGTTCACGAGGAGGGGGGAAGAGGAGAAGAGGGGAGGACGAGAAATTAGCAAAGCACTCACGTGTTTTAGGAAGTCTCCCTCCAAGCGTTCCCACGCACATGGGTCTCCAACTGCCACTCTCCAGTCGCCAATCTCCAACTCATGGCAAAATGATCGTACGTCGTCTTCGCAAGTTTTGCGTGGTCATCCTTGGGGCTTGTTTCCAACAGGTGGCCATTTGAGAACACGCGACGCCCACCAACCAGCAGGCATTCTCGCGACGCAACCAGCGAATCGCGAATATTGGCGAAAGTGAACTTCTGACCACAAATTGAGATGGTCATCTTCCATGATTGCGTACATGCGCTCGTGCCAAGAATGTAGAATAATGTGCCGAGGACTCGACCAATCAATTCCAACCGGTGGCCCCGTTACTTGACGAATCAGTTTCGGGCATATACCATCAAGTTGGTTCCGTTCAGCAAAGCGACCGGTAAGATTATTGCATCAAGGATAATTGAGACGAGCTGCTGCAGAGACGCGCTTGACCGTCAACACCCAGCGGCTCTCATAGAACGCCTTCGCGGCGGCCTGGAGATGGTATCCCTGATCCCTCTCGAGAACGTCCGTCGACAGTACGCATCCAGGCCACAAGCTTGATCGACACGCGGTTGAGCCTCCGTCGTGAGGGCTATTGTTTTCTCTGCGTTCAATATCACGCCCACCGAAGCAATTTCCCCAGCAAGTGATCTGAGAAGGGTCGCGGCCTCGTTTTGAGACTTGGCAAAGGACACCCCGTCGTCGGCAAAACGCAAGTCCAATGAATGAAGCAGTCCGTCTCCAAAGTCGAATCCTGCAGTTCCGGATTTCTGACGCCAGCGCGCTATCGTCTTCTCGAGTAAACAACACAACAGCCGTGGACTGAGAACACAGCCTTGTCGAACCTCAGCTGAGATGCGGAACGGGTCGTTGCACTCACGTTGTCCGATCACCTGCCCTGTCTGCTGGTCGCAAAGCACTTGCAATATCCAAATACGGTGGTCTGAAACACAATGTTCGCGCAACGCCAACCACAGAGCGGACCACTCCACACGATCGAACGCCTTACACAAATCGAGGCTCACGGCCAAAACAGGAGTGCCTACCGATATCGTTTTCTCCATGAACAAATTTGTTGGCAGGAGGTGTTCTTCACTGCGATAATCGGCCTGGACGGCGTGCTGATTCTGGGATTGTCGCTGGTCCAGTCCGTTTTCGAGGCGGCCCAGCAGCAGATATGCAAACAGATTGTACAGCACCCTCACGCTGGCAATAGGTCTATAGTCCGTAACGGTTGCGGCCTTCGGTTTCTTCGGGGACATTTGGAAGAGCGTCCGCCGCCATTCTGAGGATGAAGTCTTTCTAATAACACTCTGCTGTACAGTATCAACAAATTATGTCGGAATGAGATTGGCCAATGGTGGAGAAGTTCTGCGACCAAACCAATATCATCAGAAGCTCGTTTCGAGTTCATCTTTTTTATCGCCGTGTCCAATTCCATTGCTGAGAATGGGCTTCCATAAGATCTCGAGGCTTCCTTGGCGGGGGCGGAGCCCCGGCAAACAAATGACCAAGGAATTCAGCGAATTACCCCTCCAATGGCGACTGGGGCAATCCGTTACCTTTGACTTATTCTGTCTGCGCCTTGACTTCATGCCAATGTCTCGAGCTCTTCAAAGTCTTCTCCAACTGAGCAGATTTTCAAATCCTTATCTATTGTCGCTGAAGTCGTCGTATCTCAACGCTGAGCTGTTTTCGATCAGTCTGGTCGCGGGAACTCGTTATTTGGGTCCGCAGTGTCTGAAGATGGACTTTGGGCCTGAAACGGACCTTCCTGCTTGCCGTGCGTCCGAACTTCGTGGCCGCTTCCCGCAGGCTGTGTCCACGTCCTCGAAAGACGCGTTCCCCCGATGCTGTGGAATCCACATGCTCAAGTAATCTTGATATGCACTGCTCTCCCCATTTACATTCAATTGCGGCTTCCCATTCTTGAATGGTTTATGTTCTCTTGATTTGCAAGTCTTGCGCGTCATAGCAGGAGCCACATTTTGGAAAGGAACTGCTTTGATTATGTGAACTGCTTCTGTTTAAACGAATGTGCGCGGCACTGAGGCGAGAACCACAGTTTGAAAACCAATCGCCCTGATTCCGTGAAGCTCTTGCAATTGTTCAAAACGAATGTACGCGGCGTTGAGGCGAGAGCTACATATTGAAAACGATCCGCTCTCGATCCGCAAAACTCGTTACACGTGTGGAACACGAATGCGCGCGCGGCGCTGAGGCGAGCGTCACATTTGAAAACTGCCCGCCCTCAATACGTGAAAACCATGCAAATATGTTGAACGAATGTGCGCGGCGCTAAGACGAGAGATACATGTTGAAAACCACCCGCCCTCCATGTGTGAAGTTGTTTTCAATGTTTAAGCATCAGGGTCATCACTGGTGCGGAAGTCTCAGGCGAAACGCCCGGCCCGCCCTTTCGACCAGCCTCGGGGTGCGATAGGGAGGAGGAGGAGGAGGAGGAGGAGGAGGATGAGGAGGAGGAGGAGGAGAAGGGGAGGAGTAGGAGGAGGAGGAGGAGGAGGAGGAGGAGGAGGAGGAGCAGGAAGAGGGGGAGAACAGGATGATGAGGAGGAACATCCTTGGTGCCTTCTTTGGGCCTCCTGGAGGCCTCCTGTGAGCTTCCCAAAAGTGCTTTTGGGGTGGCCTCTTGGGGGCCTCATTGGGCCTATCGGGGGCCTCTGCGAGCCATTTTGGCCGTCCTGGGGGGACTCTCGGCCCGTCTGGCGCCTGTGGGAGGCGCCTTCGGGGCCTCTCCTGGCCGTGTCGGTGCCCTCTTGGAGCGGCTCACGGCCGTCTCGGGGCCTTCTCGGGAGCCCCTGGAAGTTTCTTGGGGGCCTCTGGGGGGCCTGTTGGGGGCTCCTTGGGGGCCTCCTGGGTCGTCCTAAGGGGACCTCTTGGTCCGTCGGACTCCCTCGGAGGCCGTCTTGGGGGCTTCTCTCTTTGGGCAGTGTTGGTGCACTCTTGGAGCGCTTTATGGGCCGCCTTCCTCTTAGTAAGGGGTACCGAGCAACGAGTTTCTGGGAAGGATGCCTGCAGAAACGGATCCTGAGTAAGGATCTCGTTGCGAAAGGAATCCTTAGGAAGGGCGCTTGTAGAACACCGTTCGTCGGCCAGAGTCGCAGGCTAACGCGCTGGCCGTGCAAAAAAAACAACGCAAGTCAGCACAATTGTTGTGCAGCTTCGTGAAGCGACCGGGCTTGTGTCTTCGTCCTTTCCGTTTTGTTGGTGTCGTTTGGGGGTGTGGGGGACCAAGCGTTTGTGTACACAGATGGAGGAGAGAAAGAGAGACAGAGAGAGAGACAGAGAAAGCAGAAACAGAAAGAGAGAGAGAGAGAGAAACAGAAACAGAAAACAGAGAGAGATACAGAGAGAGACAGAGAGAGAGAGAGAGAGAGACAGAGAGAGAGGGAAACAACAAAAAAACAGAAACGGAGAAGGGAGGGAGGTTGTCGGAGGAGGCGAGGAGGGAGGCTGGAGAGCCTGGCAGCGCAGGGCGGCGCCCCCCCGACCTCCCCCGCGCCAGGTGGACGCGCTCTGCTGCAGGCTGCTGCCCTCGGTCTTCTCGCCGAGCGCCCGCGCCTCGGGGCTGGCCGCCAGCGCCGCTCCGTCCCCCGCCGCTCCGAGGCCGGGCCCCTGCCCACCGGCCTCCCGCCGCCTCGCGCCCCGTCGCCCCCTCCTGCTCTTCCTCCTCTTCCTTCTCGTTCTCCTCCTCCTCCTCCTCCTCTCTTCGTCTCCTCCTCTTCCTCCTCTTCCTCCTCCTCATCCCGTCTCCTCCCTTGTCCTCCTCTTCCTCCTCCTCCTCCCCCCTCTCCACCACCTCCCCCGCCGCCTCCTCTTCCATTATCCTCCTCCTCCTCCTCGTCCTCCTCGTCCTCCCCTCCTCCTCCTCCTCCTCCTCCTCCTCCTCCCCTCCTCCTCCCCTCCTCCTCCCCCTCCTCCCCCTCCTCCTCCGCCCCCTCCTCCTGCTCATCCTCCTCCTCCTCCTCCTTATCCTCCCCCTACTCCCCTCGCTGCTGTGCACCGGGCGCGCCCCGCCACTGCTCGATTGCCATCTGAGTCCATTGCGGCCGCTGGCTCGAAAAGAAAGGGCGGGTACGATGCTCAACAGCAGTGCCCGCTCGTCATTTTGGGCAGGGTTTGCTGCGCTTCGGGCCCATGGTGCAACACGTCTCGCCGTTTGTGGCAGGCTTCTTTTTGATCCAGCTGACAGAAATGGTTGTCCGGAGAGTGCCGAACGACAGTGATTTTTGTTCATGGAGCGTCTTGCTGGTGTTGATCGTACCCATACTGTACGTTCCCATTATAGGCGTGCGAAGTGTAGCCACGGCGCTGAGATGGGAAACGGTTCTTCTCTGACTTCCTCCCTTCGAGGAGCGACACACGGCATACATATGAATATCCCGAGTTCCGCGCGGATCTCTTGCATCGGCGGTGGAGCCCCCTGGAGGCACCGTCAGCGCCGCCGTTGGCGCGCTCCGCGTGCCAGGGAGGGTGGTCCAGCGCCGATCCGATAGATAGTCCGCGCGGAGTTTCGGAAGTTTATGTTTATGCACATATTTGTGTCTCTACCTCCCCCTCATTCTTCTCCCCCTGTTCGGTGCCTTTCCCTGCAGTGGGGATCGGTTTCAGGATTCCTTCGGTGGTGTACAGTAGGTTCGCGTCGTGTCGACTGGTGGTGACCCCGCCGCTGGCGTTCGATGTTGAACGCCGGCGGCGGCCCAGAATCGGTCGATGTTGAACGATCTGATGTTTCTGAAACGGCCGATCGTCCAAAATTGAGCGATCCCCGCGGTGTCAGAAACCAACGCCGAGGTCGGCACGACACGAACCTGCCGTATTTGGGTCGGGCCGGCTAGATAGACTGCAGGAACCTCCGCGGACGGGACCGGAACGCAGCCAAGGCGCTGAGCACGGGACCGGAACGCAGCCAAGGCGCTGACACGAGGAAAAAGCTCGGCTTCGAGAGGAGCTCGCCGCCCCCTCAGATCCTTCACGGCTGAACCCTCTGGCGCTCCTTTTCGTGCACCCGGGCGCTTAGGTTTTTTACATGCAGTGGGGGCCCATGCCAAGAAACACCCTGCTTGCCTCCAGGGAGCCCTGTGTTTCTTGGGTTTCGATGGCTCTGCCGTGGAAAACGTGACGGTCCCGCACCAAGAATCGATGGACGTACTGGGGTCTCAGGGTTGGGTTTCTTATGGGAGGTCTCACTTGTGGTCGGACCCCTACTGCATATCTAGTGTTCCTCACTGGGCCTGCGTTGTGGTGTGGGTTTTGTGAGGGCGGCCGAGTGGGCCAGGGGGCCCCGCACACAACGCCTGGGTCTCTGTCCCCTGTCCGTCGGAATAAAGTCAAGACGAGACCGCCAGACGATCAGGAAGTGCCCAGGGGGAACTCACAGCGCCGTGCTGGTCGTGGCGATCAGATGGGTACTCAACCACGCGCAGAGGGAGGTGGGGGGAGGGGGGAGGGCTCCTTAGAAGCACCCCTGCTTCTTAGAAGGCGCCGGCCTTTATCTATAGATGTAAGGCCCTCGTTTTCTAAGAAGCAGCCTCCTTCTAAAAAGCCCTCCTTCCTCCCTCCACCCCCTTGTGCGCGCCGCCAAGGGGGCTCGCAGCGCCGCGCTGGTCGGGGCGATCGGAATGGGTACGGAAGACATGGGCACAACGACCGACACCATGTCTCGCTCATTTTGAACAGGACCGGTGTCGCCGCGGACGCTGTCCATCTGAGACGGGAGGTTGCCTGCCCGACGACGGCCGTTGCGGGTTTCGGACAACACTTGCTGCTGGGCAGCGTATCCATTTTGTTCCGTGCCCATGTCGGGCTTCCCATGATGGGCCTGTTTCCTAACATCACTACCCTAAGTTGGAAGGAGGAATGACGAAGGGGAGGGAGGAGGAGGAGGAGGAGGACGAGGAGGAGGAGGAGGAGGAGGAGGAGGAGGACCCCCTCCCCCTTCAACTTATGGTGGTGGTGGTGGATAACAGGCCCGTCATCCCAAATTGGGAAGTAGACGATGGTGAGGTGTCCCCAGTTCGCGGTCGCCGCCGTCGTCGTGGCTCTCTCAGGCCGCAGCCAGCGGCCCTCACGAGAGCTAGGATGCAACTTTCTGCGGGAGTGAGTTCTGCATCGGCGCCGCTTCATGTTGCTCAATCCCGCTGGATCCTCTACAGTGCCGCCCAAGCCGGCTCGAATCCCAGCGAGTCTGCTTAACTCTGGGCTGGATCCCGCTTGATCCGGTTCAGTGGCCCCTCAATCGGGCGAAGCAGCCCTTGACCCTTAGTCGTTCTGGCGAGGACCTCCCAGGATATGCCCACGAACGGGAGGCACCTTTTGAGATGTCGTCCCCTACCCGATGTTTTGTTCGAGTCGTTCGTCTGCACCTTCGTCGGGCGAGCCCCGGCGGACAGCCGTTCCAGATCCAGCGGCTCGCGCGGCGGTGGAGCCCCAGCCCGACCCGCGCCGTCGTGGGAGGAGCCCGCCACCGCCCAGCGGAGGAGAATGCGACCCATGACGCTGCCTGTCCTGGAGATCCCCAGTCACCACGGCTGAGGAGGAGGAGGAGGAGGAGGAGGAGGAGGCAATGGAGGAGGAGAGGAGGAGCATCAGAGGAAGACAAGGAAGCGATACCGCTGCCCTTCCATCGCTTTCGCCGTTTTGGGGCTCCCTGGGAGGCCCTCGTCGCCACGACTGGATTACGTATCAATGTCTGGTCTTTTGCCCCCCCAATCCCCCAATCGCGTGCCACATGCACAGTGCACATTTTACGTTTCCACGCGCACAGTGTACACCGGACGAGGATAGTGGCTGAGGTAGCGTGCAGCACGTTGTGCTGCTCAGTGTGTTGCACGCAGTTGAACAGTGCCGTCCGCTCGGTCTCGCCATGGCCCTGGCGCAGGTGGTCTCAGACTGCAATGGACAATCGACGACGGGTCATCGGACCCCCGCTGGGGCTCACTCGGTAGCAGATAACCAAAATATCTGAACCCCGCCTGGTCTTTTCGGGCCGAACGAACTGGGGGATAGGGAAAGGGGGGGTACTAAATCTGCTGCATGCAGCTGGTTTCGGCCCCGCCGCCAGGCCCATTCCTCGATACATGGGCGCCTCCCGGCGCCAGGAGGCGCTGGGAAAATCAGCTACGTGAGCTGATTCTCTACCGTACCCTTTGCCCCTGATCTTTCTTTCCCCCTGATCTTTCAGCAGTCTGACCTGTTCACCAGGAGGGCCAACCATAGTAAGGGTAACCGCACGTCTTCTGCCAGGGCCCACGATCTTGGGAAGAACTTGAGCGATGTGGATTTAAGTATTGCCTGTCCCTCTACAAGAGGAGTATTCAAAACTAATCAAAAATAATATGGGGGGGGACTTGTTGACAATGTTTGGCTAAGTTGGGCTTATTGTTTGGACTATTTTTGATTTTTCTCCAAACATCCGCCTGTAGGGGGACATGCCCGACCTAACTCTATCGGCAACGTATCGCCGATTCAAGCTCGTCGCCCCCCCCTTGAGCCAGTCCCCTCCTAACCTTTCCCTCCAACAATGAGCATCGGTGACAGCCGCCCTGTCTTTCGTTTCGATCTGCGTGTGTCACTCGCGCGCCTCCTGTGAGAAAGCCTTGCGCTCTTTCGACCGTGACTCACTGATGGGGCTGTCCAGCCCGCGTGGCCTCGATGCTGCTCCTGCTCCGATCCGCTGCTGCTGCTCCGATCCGCGGCGTGTCCCGGCGCGGGGCCCCTTCACAACCATAGTCAGAGGAACCTGCCCCATGTGCTCCGACTCCACCTAGGGGGCCTCTACAGGTGAGCGACGCCCAGCTGGCCCCAAGGGGCCCAAAGCAGGGCCGAGGACCCCGGCAGGGCCACGATCCTTGGAGCTCGAGGTCTCGAGGCTCGAGCCGCGACCGAGCGCCGAGGTCTTCAAGCTCTTCGACGGCTGCAGCCTGCCCTTCGCCCAGATCCAGGCGGGGCCATCGTGGGGGGGGCGTTCCCGGCGCGCAGGGTGGCGGGCTCCCGCGCGCGCGCGTTCGTCGAGGTGCGCGGCAGCTTGCGCGCGCGGCTGCGCGGTCGGTGGCGCGGGGGTATCAAAACCAGGGGCTGAGGTGCGGGGGATCTGTTCACTCAGGGGAGGGGGGCGGGGTTTGCGTCGGCTCTCGGCGGCTGTCCAGCCTCGGGAGGAGTTTCGGCAGCTGCGCCTGGCCGAGGGCGTTCTGGGGTGGGCGGGCACGTCCTGAGCGGCCGCCGGGAGCCCGAGTTGTAGCCCGAAAGCCAGGGTTCGGAAGGTCAGGGGCATCATGATCAGGAGGGAACAACACACACAGGCACAATGAACCGTCGATTCCCAGGAAGATCTGCGACAATAGGGGAAGTGGGGGGGAAGGCGAAAACCTCAAAATTATTGAAGAATATGGGGAATCCTGGGATTTGTGTGTGTATGTGTGTGTGTGTATGTTTGTGTGTCCCTGGCCCCCTTCACATGGGAGGGGATAGGCTCAGGGGAGGCATCGACGCCCTGTCGCCCATGGATCGCCACAGCGGCCCGCTGTGCTCAGGGCCGTGCGGAGCCGCCATCGGGGGCCCATCGCCGATCTCTGTCGGCAACGCATCGCCGATTCCAGCTCGTTGCTGCCCCCTCCTCCTCCTCCTCCTCCTCCTCCTCCTCCTCCTCCTCCTCCTCCTCCTCCTCCTCCTCCTCCTCCTCCTCCTCCTCCCCCTCCCCCTCCCCTCCCCCTCCTCCTCCTCCTCCTCCTCCTCCCTCCTCCTCCTCCTCCTCCTCCTCCTCCTCCTCCTCCTCCTCCTCCTCCTCCTCCTCCTCCGTCCGGGCCCCTGGCAACGTTCCCCTCCATAGCGAAGAGTGTCGGTGGCACGCGCCCTGTCTTTCGTTTCGATCTGCGCGCGTCACTCGCGCGCCTCCTGCGATGGAGAAAGCCTGGCGACCGTGGCTCGCTGATGGGGCCGTCCAGCCCGCGTGGCCTCGATGCTGCTCCTGCTCCGATCAGCGGCGCGCCCGTGGGGGGGGAGTGTTACGTCGGGCGCGTCCCTCTACAGGAGGAATATTCTAAAATAGTCAAAAATAGTATGGGGCTGATTTTTCTATTATTTCTCCATGTTTATGGTGCATGTTATTCATATCTTTAACTTGTCGCCCACTGTCCGCCTGTAGGGGGACATGCCCGACCTAAGGGAAGTGAGGGGCCGCGGGGTTTCTCAGACGCCCTCCGACTTTCTGAGATCAGGCGATCGCAAACATGGGTCAATGGGGGCGCTGATTCGCGGCGGGTCCCGCTTCCATGGGAGACCGCGGATTGCCGCCGCCGAGCGTGGCGGCACCGGCCGCACTCTTGCGGAGGGCACTTGCCCCGATCCATGGCGGTGGCGACCGCGCGACACATCCATGGATCGCTAGTTCATGCTTGCGCGCCCCCGACGAGAAGCCGTCGCTCTGCCTTCGCAGAAGAGCTCCGAAGACTCGTCGGAAGGCCTTCCGAGACGGCCTCCGCCCCGCTGACTTCCGCCCTGGGATTTCGCCGCCGACTTTTTGTTCCTGCGACCGGTTGCGTCATGTTGTTGTTCCTTGGCGGGTTGCCTCGCAGGCGGTTCCTTGCCCTGGAGCCGCCGCTTTTCCTCAACGAAGCACTGAGCTGGTCAAAAGTGGAGAGAAGCTCGGAGATGCACCCCCAGGGGGGCCACAGGCTACTGTCAGCCCGCAGAGGAAGGCTGGGCAACCTGCCCCAGGGTGCCCTTGTATCCTTCCCTCCTGGATCAATCCTTGGCTACTTTCGTTGGCCGCGCCCCGCCCGAGAAAGTTTCGACATGGGCGTCCAAGGCCCTTGCACCCCTCGGACTGGCTGTGTTCGGACGCCCTCCCTATCGAGGAGGGACGCCCCCCCAATCGCAGATCCCCGAGTTTGGCCCAGCATTCTCGGTCCAGTCGACAACCCCGCGAAGTCGGGGGCAGGGGTCGCGGAAAAGTCGGGCATGCCCCTCAACAGCAGGAACCATCAAACATAAAAAACAAGTCGTCTGGGGACGATTGCTTCACTCTGTTTGCGCATGTTTGGCCTCGTCTTTCTTTCTTTCTTCCAGACTCCGCCTGTAGGAGGACATGCCCTTGGCATCGCTCGGACGTGTGCACCTCTTCTCGGCGGGGATTCTGAAGGAGCCTCCTGGAGCCTCCTGCGACAAAAAAAAGCACGCGCGAAACCGACAAAAGGCACAGGGAATGGTCGTCCGAGCGAGGGCCAGTGCCCGACCTCAGGTTCCTGCCCCGGTGGCCTGCGCGGTGCCTCTGCGGGGGTGCGCGGCCGCCGGCGGCCGCGCCCGCGCGCGCCTGCCTTCATTTGGTGTGGTGCTGCGCGGCGGAGGGGCTGCGCGGCGAGAGGGGCGCGGCCCGGCCTCCGCCCCGCCACGGGGCAGGGGCCTCGGGCTTTCCGACGGCGTCGGGCCAATGGCAGGTGCGGAGGGCGAGGCAAGATGCGCAGCCCCAGAGGTTGGCACCAACACCAGTATCGGCGGCGTGCCTCCACCGATGGAAGGAGATCCCGATCTCGGTGATGGTGGTAGTGTTCTGGCTTCCGAGGTGGCCGAACTCTTGCCGCCAACGCCGAAATCTAGGATCATCTTCCCCCTGTGGAGGCAGCCCCCTGTGCTGGTGTTGGTCCCCATTTCCAGACCTCCAAAAGATGTCGGTGCGAAGCACGGTCTCACCAGAGCACACCTGAGGCCTCACCAGAAGCGGCGGCGAGAGAGCGATCGCAAGGTGGACGGAGGACCGCGAGCTTGCAGGCGAGAGTGCGCTCGGGCAAGCTGGCGCCGCCGCCCGGTGGCAGCAGCGTGAACGTCGCTGGACACGCCGGCAGAGACGTCCCACGCTGCGCGGAGCCACCCATTCGGCAGCAGGCCATGCCCGCAGCAGGAAACAAAACCACAGCCTCGACGAAATACTGTCATATTGTTTTCATGTGTGTGTGTGCCGTTGGTGTCCAAAGTGGGCGTCGTCGCACGTGCGTTCTGGCCCCGGCACTGGGGCCGACGGCCGCCCGTGAGATCGGACGGTCCGATGCGGCCCGATTATTGCATGGCGCTTTTGTGCATCCTGGTGCAGCCGATCCGATTCGACTCCGTGCCGATGCTGCTCGATCCGATGTAATGTTTGATGCGATGCGAGTTTCGAATCTCGAGGTAGACGAAGCTGCATGACCATAGCGCCGTAGGCGTTCAACATTGAACGCAGTTGGTTGGTCAGAATTGGCCATTCTGTAACGATCGGCGTTATCGACAAGTCGCCGATCGTTCCAGGTTGAAGGATCCACGCGTTGTCAGAGTCCAATACCGAAATCGTCTCGGCTTCACAAAGTTTCTTATCCGCCGATGGTTCTGATGGCTTACAGACAGCCCGCGCCACCCTAGGAAGCTCAAGGCTCGGCGACAAACTTGCCCTCAGACATCTCATAGCAGGATTTCTCATCATATGTTCCTGCTGTACCTTCTCTCCCCGAGTCACGGTCCACTACGGTCCGGTCGATCCGACTCGATGACGATTTCGGTTGGCCCGATCCCATTTGTCTCCGAAATTTCGACGATCCGATGCGGCTCGATGTTTGCATGGCGCTGTTGTGCATCTTGGTGCAGCCGATCCGATTCGACTCCGTGCCGATGCTGTTCGATCCGATGTAGATTTGAGGAGCGAGTTTCGAATCTCGAGGTAGACCGAGCTGCCTGAACATACATTTGGAGCGCCAGTTGAGGCATCGAGACGAGTGCAGGTACTGTCCAGTTTGAAGAGCAGCAGACGGCATGAACATGGATTTTCGGAGGTCCGCGCAGGTTTCTTGGATGCCGTGCTGCGCGCGCCAAAGATGGTGTCCAGCGTTGATAAAGAAAAACCGCGCCATTCTCAGAGAAAGTATGGTTATGTAGTTCGTTCTTCCAGTACCACTGTTTGGGGCGGTGCCATGATCCCCTGCCAGACAAGCGACCAGCACTCAAGCGCACCCTCGCAGCGTGGCGACGGCACGGTGGTGGGAAGGCGCAGCTTGGGCAAACGAAAGGTGCTTGCTCATTCCAGGGCTATGACTGACGGCAGGTTCTCGCCGTGTCGACGCGGCGGCGACCCCGCCGTAGGCGTTCAACATTGAACGCAGTTGGTTGGTCAGAATTCGCAGATTTGGAATGGTCGGCGCTATCGACAAGTCGCCGATCGTTCCAGGTTGAAGGACCCACGCGTTGTCAGAATCCAATACCGAAATCGTCACGGCACTAACCTACCGTACAGTTGGCGCGTGCCGCGCCAGCAGGTGCCGCACAGAAGTTTCTTATCCGCCGGTGGCTCTGATGGCTCACAGAAAGCCTGCGCCACCCTAGGAAGCTCGAGGTTCGTCGACAAACTCGCCGTCAGATTTCTCATAGCGAGATTTCTCATCGTATGTTTCTGCTGTACCTTCTCTCTCCGAATCAGTGTTCATTGCGATCCGATCGATCCGATGCGATGACGATTTTGGTTGGCCCGATCCCATTTGTCTCCGAAATTTCGACGATCCGATGCCGCCCGATGCTTGTTGTTGTGCATCTTGGTGCAGCCGATCCGATTCGACTCCGTGCCGATGCTGTTCGATCCAATCCAACGTTTGATGTTATGCGAGCTTCGAATCTCGAGGTAGACCAAGCTGCATGACATTACATTTGAAGTGCCAGTTGAGGCATTGAGACGAGTGCAGGTACTGTCCAGTTTGAAGAGCAGCAGGCGGCATGAACATGGATTTTCGGAGGTCCGCGCAGGTTTCCTGGATGCCGCGCTGCGCGCGCCAGAGATGGGGTCCAGCGTCGATTCAAAAAAGCCGCGCAAACATCACAGAAATTATGGTTATGTAGTTGTTCCAATACTATTGTTTAGGGCGGCGCCATGATCCCCTGCCAGACAGCTGACCCGCACTCAAGCGCACCCTCGCAGCGTGGCGACGGCACGGTGGTGGGAAGGCGCAATTTGGGCAAACGAAGGTGTTTGCTGTTCACGTTGTGTCGACGCGGCGGCGACCCCGCCGTAGGCGTTCAAGATTGGTCGCAGTTGGTTGCCCAGAATTGGCCGTTTTGGAACGATCGGCGCTATCGAAAAGTCGCCGGTCGTTCCAGGTTGAACGATCCAAGCGTTGTCAGAATCCATCGCCGAAGTCGTCACGACACTAACCTACCGTACAGTGGGGACGTGCCAGCAGGTGCCGCACAGAAGTTTCTTATTCGTCGATGGGTTTGATGGCTCACAGAAGCCATGCGTCACCTTAGGAAGCTCGAGGCTCGGCGACAAACTTGCCCTCAGATATCTCATAGCAAGATTTGTCATCGTATGTTTCTGCTGTACCTTCTCTCTCCGAGTCACGGTCCACTACTGTCCGATCGATCCGATGCGATGACGATTTCGGTTGGCCCGACCCCATTCGTCTCAGATTTTCCGACGATCATATGCGGCCCGATGCTTGCATGGCGTTGTCGTGCATCCTGGCGCAGCCGATCCGATGTTATGTCGACCTCGAGCCGATGCGGCGCTATCCGAGGACAGAACCAACGGCGTGAACGTGAACGCGGGGCGCCAGTTGAGGCCTCGAGACCTCGAAGTGCAGACACTGTCCAGTTCGAAGAACAGCAAAAAGCTGCATAATCGGGGGCGGCAAAGAGGAGGGTGATGACTAGGGGGGTGGATATCATGGCGTGGGCCATGATATTTCCCCAGATATCATGGCGCCTCTTTTTACTTAATTTCGCCCCTGGCCCCCCCGCTGTGCCGCGCACATGCCGCCGGTCATGATTTGCACCCCCCCTCTTGGACACCCCCCTCTTGGCCGCTCCCGATATAAACAGAGGTTCTCAGAGCTCCGCGCGGATTTCTCGTATCGGCGCTGGGCACCCCTGGAGGCACCTCCTGCGCCACCCCTGGCGCGCTCCGCGCGCCTTGGAGGGAGGGCCACCACGATTCCAGCACATCCGCGCGGTTTTCCGGCAGTTTACGCCCATGCACGGTTTTCTTATTCTAGACTCTCGATTCGATGCCGACTGGTCTTCAGCCACGCAGAGGGCGGTATGGGTATGGAGTAGGGGGAGGATTCTCAGAAGCACTTCTGTTCCTTTGGAGGCGCGGGGTCTCACTTATGGATGTAAGGCCCGCGCCTCCTAAGAAACAGTCTCCCTCTAAGAAGCCTTCCCCCTCCCGAAGAAGCAACAGCGCTATGAACATGAGCTTTCGAAGCTCCGCGCGGATTTCTTGGATCCGCACTGGGGCCCTCTGGCGGCGCCTCCGGCGCCCCTCCTTGCGCGCTCCGCGCGCCATGGAGGGAGGTCCGGTGCGGATCCACGAAGTCCGCGCGGTTGTGTTTCGTCTAGCCTTCCCCCTGAGAAGCCTTCCCTCTTCCCCCTACCCTTCCCCCAAGAAGCCTTCCCCCTCAGAACTGGCCCCCTTCTAAGAAGCCTTCCCCCTTCCGCCTGCCTCCGTCCGCGCGCCGCCAAGCACCGGCAGCCCGCGGGCAGGTGATGAAGCGCAGGGACCGGAAGCTGCAGCTCGCGGTGCTCGCGCTGGCCGTCGTGGTCTCGGGCGTGTCGTTCGGCAGGCTGGCCCCAGCGTTCGAGCCTGTTGGAGTTGGAGGGAGGGAAGAGGGAGGAGGGGGAATGAGGAGGAGGAGCAAGGAGGGGGAAGGAGGATGAGGAGGAGGAGGGAGGAGGAGGGAGGATTGAGCAGGATGAGGAGAAGGAAGGAGGAGGAGCAGGAGGAGGAAGGAGGAGGAGGAGGAGGATCGGAGAGAGGCAGGCAATGGATGCTGCTAACCTTCCCTCGTTTTCGCCCCTTGGGCCTCCTTGGAGGCCGTCGTCGCGGAGGCTGGATTCGCATCGTGGCGAGGTCTGGAGAGGTCTGGAGAGTGGCGGTGTTCGTATTGCTTGTCTTGGACGCAATAGCTGTGCAGCCTATGTCCGCTCCATCTAAAAGGAGGAGGAGGAGGGGGAGGAGGAGGAGGGGGAGGAGGGGAAAGGGAAGGAGCGGGAGATGAGGGGGAGGAGGAGGAGGTGGAGGAGGAGGGGGAGGAGGAGGGGGAGGAGGGGGGGGAGGAGGGGGAGGAGGAGGAGGAGGATGAGGAGGAGGAGGAGGAGGAGGAGGAGGAGAAGAAGGAGAAGAAGAAGGAGGAGGAGGAGGAGGAGGACGAAGATGGCATAGTCATAGGCGACTCGAAGCAATCGAGGCATCAACCGCAGACTGCTGCATGCTACGCACTGGCATGGAGGAGGGCCAGGAGAGGGGGGGGCGTTGCGCTGAGGGGTGGAGGGCGGGAGTTTTCACAGACCGGGTTTTCACAGACACGATGCTTAGTTCTATATGTGCCAGCCTTCATGCAGCCACGGAGTCAAGGGAGTCCAGAGTCTTGTTCCCTGCTCCGCAGCCTTTTCCAGGGTTCAGCTTGAGTCCGCCAGAGGACGATAACGTTACTGAACTTCGCCTAGCGCTTGAGAAAAGTTCTATCCAGAGGGTCAAGCCGGATCTGTCCTTCTGCAGGATGGATATCCTCAAAAATAATAAAACTGTAGTCTGGGGAGGATTGTTCTACCATTTTTTGAGCATGTTTGGTGCATGCTCGACTACTTTTGATTTTTCGTCCCAGATCCCCCGGTAGGGGGACACGCCCGACCTAAGAGCAGGGGGGCATTGCGGGCGGCCCCGCTTGCGACGGCAAGTGCGTACCTTCCGTCCTTCTCCGCCTCCTCCTCCGCCGCCAGGAGGTACAAGGGAGAAGGAGGATCGAAGCAGAGAGCGCGGCATAAAGACAAGGACCGACCACAACGCTGTTTAGCTTGGCTTTGGCCCTTGTTGTGTTTTTCGTTTTGTTTTCCGTGGTTGTTTCGTTTCGTTTTCCGTTGTTGCTTCAAACGCCCCGTGTCGACGTCCGTTTCCGTGTGGCACCGGCTACGTTTCCAGCGTTCGTTTTGGACGTTGGGCCCCGTTTCGTTGCTCGCTGTAAACGCCATTTCGTCTTTCAACATCGTCTTGGCCGGCCCCATGCAGAGAGATCGATATTCGAAGGTCTTCGCGAATCCCTTGGATCGCCACACGGCACCCGTGGCGGCGCCCCGGGCGCTTCCCCCGGGCGCGCTCCGCGAGCAAGGGCATGATGCTGGTGCTGATGCTGATGCTGATGATGATGATGGTGATGATTGTTGTAATAGCGATGGTGATAGGGATGGTGATGATGATGAGGATGTTGATGATGAGGATGACCATGATGATGATGATTGTGGTGGTGATGATACTGGTAAGGACGACGATGATGGCGATGATGGGGGTGATGATGAAGACGATGAAGATGATGACGACGACGATGTTGATGATGATGATGATGCTGGTGATGATGGTGATGGTGATGGTGGTGGTGATGGTGGTGATGGTGATTATGATGACGGTGATTGACATGGTGTCGTTGATTGTGATGATGCTGCTGCTGCTGGTGATGGGGATCAGGATGAGGATGAGGATGAGAATGCTGATGAGGACCACGATAGCGATGATACTGACGCTGCTGCAGCAGGCGAGGATGGTCATGGCTATTGCGATGATGATGCTGATGATGGTGGTGATGATAATGAGGATGGTACCGAATATGCGGATGGTGATGACGATGATGATGAGTATGATGTTGATGCTGATGTTGATGATGCTGTTGGTGGTGATGATGGCAGTAATCATGAGAACTGTGCAGATGAAGATGATGATGCTGATGATGATGACGATGATGATGAGGATGATGATGATGATGGTGATGACAATCACGATGATGGTGATGATGGTGATGATGCTGATGATGATGATGGTTATGGTGTTGGAGATGGTGATGGTGGTGATGGTTATGGTGATGTTGAAGGTGATGATGATGCTACATGTGAAGATTGCGATGACGATGCTGATGATAATAAGTATATGGATGAGGGGCATGCTCACGATGACGCTTATGCCCGTGCTGATGATGGACATATTGATGCTGTTGCTGCTGATGATGATGCTGATGATGATCATGATGACGAAGGTGATGCTGATGATGCGGATGATGTTCTTTGTGGTGATGATGATCTGGTTATGCATCTGAAGATGAAGTGGCTGCCGATGCGGTCGACAGCTCGTGCCGGACGTGGGAGAGGCAGAATCAGAGAGAGATGTGGCCACGAGGAGCCGCAAGGCATGGAGCCCGTGGAGGAGGGCGGACGGGCAGGGCGAAGCCGGCGGCGGCGTCGGCCAGGCTCGTCTGACAGGTGCATTTGGGAAAGGGGGTGTGGAGACGAGGTGGAAGACGTGCGGGACGCCCTCCCGTTTCAAAACTCTGCCGGCCCTTTCCCGCCCACGGTCCTCCCAAGGGACAGACAGGCATGTGCAACCCGCCGGCGATGCCGGCGGCGGCGTCGGCCAGGCTCGTCTACCTCGTGCGCACGTTCCTCCTCTGGCCGCTGATCGAGGCGCTGCTCTTCGGGTGACGCGCGGGCGGCGGGCGCCGCCTCCGTGCGGGGAGCGGGGGGGGGGGGGGCTGCACGGCCGCTCGAGGCGCGGGGCAGCGGGAGCAGAGGGGGGAGGAGAAACAGCAGGGGGAGAGGGGAGGAGGAGGAGGAGGAGGAGGAGGAGGGGGGGGAGAAGGGAGGGGGGAGGAGGAGGAGGAGGAGGAGGAGGAGGAGGAGGAGGAGGAGGAGGAGGAGGAGGAGGAGGAGGAGGAGGGAGGAGGGAGGAGTGGGAGGAGGAGGAGGGGGAGGATGGGGGAGGAGGGGGAGGAGGGAGGAGGGGGAGAAGGGAGGAGTGAGGAGGAGGAGGAAGAGGAAGAGTAGGAGGAGCAGAGGCGAACGAGGGAGGACAAGGACGGCGACGTCCAGGAGAAAAAGGAGGACACGCAGGGAGCACCAGTAGGAGAGGGGCGAGGCCAGGATGAGTCGTTGGAGCATGGAGTGCATAAGGCGGATCAGGAACAGTGGGATGTGAGGAGGAGGAGGAGGAGGAGGAGGAGGAGGAGGACGCACGTGCGGAAAAGAAGGAGGAGGAGCACGGCGAGGAAGGGCAAAACGAGGATGAGGAGGAGGAGGAGGCGCACGAGAAGAGGGCGGCGCAGGATGACGGGGGGCAGGGAAGAGGAGAGGTGCATGCAGGGCATGGGGCAGGGGCAGGGATGGGGAAGGAGGAGGGGGAGGAGGTGCAGGAGGAAGAGGAGGAGGGGCATAACTCAAGAGAGGGACAACGGGGGGGCTTGGGCGTGAGAAATGTGGGACGTGGGTGCGAGGAGGAATTTGAAGACAACAAGTTCGAGGGAGAATGGAATGGGACTGGGATGGGAGGATTGGAGGGAAGGTAGGGGAGCGAAGGGATGATGGGAGGGGTCGCGGAGGGATGTGAGAGAGGGGATGGTTGGAGGAAAGAGGGAAGGGATGTGATGGATGATGAGGAATGGTGGGGGTGAGGGATGAGAGGAGGAATGAGGCTTGCAGATTGCGAACGAGCATCATGATGATGAGCAGGGGAAGGATGAGGCAGGACAACCAGGAGGACGACTGAGACAGGGAGGGACGGAGGCAAGGAGAAGGAGACGAGGAGGGAGGATATCAATGCTCTCCCGTTGAGCCGGCATGCGGAAGCTTCGGACGCGGCTTCCTTCGCGCACGGGGCCACGGCGCAGGGAGGGCTCGGAAGCGTCCTTGCTGCGACGGCTCTGGCAGACACGCCGCCAGTTGCTGGAGGGGGCGGGGGGGGAGGGTCGGCAGTGAGAGAAACGGGAGGAGACGAGGGGGAGATGAGAGGGGAATAGGGACGGGGTGGAGAGGAGACGGGAGGAGATGGCCGAGGAGGGAGGGATGCAGGGCAGGAAGAGGGGGGGGGGGAAAGAGGCGTGCAAGCGTGCGCCCGAGGATGGGCGCCTCTCACCCTCTGGCCCATTTGAAGCTGCCGCGCGGGAGCCGCCCGGCCTGTCCCTCTCCTCCTCCACCTCCTCCTCCTCCTCCTCCTCCTCCCTCTCCTCTCTCCTCCTCCTCCTCCTCCTCTCCTCCTCCTCCCTCTCCTCCTCTCGTCCTCCTCTTCCCTCGTCCTCCTCCTCCTCCTCCTCCTCCTCCTCCTCCTCCTCCTCCTCCCCCTCCAGCATCTTTCTGTTGGCCCGGGGCCTCGTTCTCGGAGCCCCTCGGCGTCATCTCGAGCCTCCCCCTCCTCCTCGTCCTCGTCCTCCCCCTCCCCCTCCTTTTTGCGTGGGGCGATCTTCGAGCGAAGCTCGCAGCGCCGTGGCCCCTCTCGCCCTCCTCCTCGTCCGCCCCCGCCCCCCCTCGCCCCGCTGTTCCGTGCATGGCGCCGCCAGCCCCGGCCGTCCCGCCCCTCCCCTCCCGAGCTGGGCACGGGGGGGCGGCCCCCGTGCGCGGGGCCCCAGCGAGCCGGCAGCCGGCGTGGCGTGTGCTGCTCGCCGCGAGCGGGGGGGGAAAATGTCGAGCAGTGGCGATGCTCGGACGAGGCTAGGACGAGGATGAATCCATCGCAGAGCGTTCCAGAACGCTCGCAGAGCGTCCCGGAACGCTCTGAGAAGGCTGGGGATCAATAGAGGTTCTCGATGTTATCTTCTCCCGATGTTGTCCTCGCCCTGGCTTCGTCTCACAGTGGCGATGCGTCATGGCTTCCCTGTGGGCCCACCAACGAAGAGTGCTCTCTGAGAACCTTGCGTGGCCTGCGCAAGTAATGCTCTGAGGGCATGTCTGGCTGGGACCGTCATGTTTCGATGCGTCGGCTTCCTGTTCTGACAGCCTCGTCTCTGCTCCCGGGCCTTGGCCGTGGCAGGTCTGTAAGAGTGCGTGGACGGTCGGCCCCTGCTCAAGCAGAGGGGAGGAGATGCGGCCAGGAGCTTTGGTTCAACGTTGTCGCGCGCGCGTTGGCGCGCCGCGGGGCTTGGTCGGGGCGCTCGAGGCTGTGACTCGCGCTTCCACTTGGGAAGAAGAAGAAGAAGAAGAGGAGGTTCAACGTGTTGCCCCACTGGTTCGTGTCCACCACGCTTCGGAGCGCCACGCTCTCCACGCCCCGGCCCCGAAGCGTCCACGTCCCGAGTTTCCCCCCCCCCCACTCCGCCCCGCGGAGCCGATCGACGCGCGATCCACTCGCGGAGCGCTCAGAGCGTGCCGCAGGGGCCGCCGCCGCGACACGCTGGGCAGAAAGCTCCTGGCCGCAGGAGGGGCAGGAGCCATCGAGGCTCGAGGTGCGCGGGCGCCCTCGTCGGCTCTCGGCGGTTTTGCAGCCGCGGGATGCGTTCCCGCAGCTGCGCCTCGCCGGAGGGCGTTCCCGGGCTGCCCGGATCGTCCCGAGCGGCCGCCGGCTGCCCGAGGTATGATGACCCGAAGACCAGACGATCAGGGGCCACCGCGCCAGGATCATGGGCACCTTTGGGGGAGGGGATAAGGCTCAGTTGGAGATGCTTCGAAAGTCGTGCCTGTCTCTTTACAGTAGGCACATTCAAAAATAGTGCAAGAATAGTCTGGAGACGATGTTTCCTCTCTTTTTTATTTTCAACTATGTTTTGACTATTCTTATTTTCCGTCCAATATCCGCCTCTAGGGGGACAGGCCCGACCTAAGCCTACCCCGCGCAGGAACTTGCAGGCTCGCTGTCGGGGGCGTGCCGTAGAGCTGTCGGCGGTGTATTGCCGATTCCTGCTCGACGTTGCCCCCTCGTCGCCACTGCTCGGTTCGCCTCGGCATCCTGTTCAGAGCGCACCCCAGGCAGCGGTCCGTGGAGCAGCGGTGCCGGTATTTGTTTGTCCCCCCAGAGGAGGAGGAGGAGGAGGAGGAGGAGGAGGAGGAGGAGGAGGAGGAGGAGGAGGAGGAGGAGGAGGAGGAGGCGGAGGAGGAGGAGGAGGAGGAGGAGGAGGAGAAGGAGGAGGAGGAGGAGGAGGCGCACCCAGCTGAGAGGGACAGGAGGCTTGGCGTCTCGCGCGCCTGCGGGCTGCGGCCAGTCCTCGGAGCCTGGGCCGGGGCGCACGCCCCCAGGAGGGCGAGGCTCCCAGCGCGGAGCCTCCGCCTCGGGAGGGGCGCCGCGCCCCGACCTGGGGAGGCAGCTGTGCTGTGCACCGAACTTCTGGAGCTCACGCATCGCCTCGGCGACCTTCTGGCCATCATTCAGGATGCTCCAACCTACTCTAGCCCTGGTCACCAGGAATAATCTCGAGCGCCAGAACAAGTACCGAAACCCAAGGCTTTTCACGTGCCGGGCCCTGGGAGACACACGCCCGAGACACTGTTTCCACACTGTTTCGATACTCTTTTGACACTTTTCCCTGTGCTCGAAATTATTCTGGAGCGCAAGTGTATTGCTGGATTTTCGCGTGCAATACATTAGTTGTAATACAATGCAAAACAATGTTTCGGCGCAGTACATTTGCCCCAAAACTATTGCACCACTCCCTTGCAGCTGGACCCTCTTTTGTGTCACCCAAAAATAATGCTCGACCACGTCGTGCTTCTCAACGTCGTTCAGCGGAACGTCGTTCCGAACAACGTCGTGCTGCGCAGCGTCGTGATGGTCAACGACTGGCTGCGGATCAGCGTCGCACTTCACGGCGGCGTGTTCAACGTCGCAGTGCTCAACAGCGCCCCACTGGCGTGTCTAGACCACGTCGTGCTTCTCAATGCCGTTCAGCTGTACGTCGTTCTGAATAATTCCGTGCTGCTCAGCGTCGTCTTTGTCGACGACGCTGTCGTGGCTGAGCGTCGCACTGCGTGGTGGCGATCTCAACGTCAGAGTGCTCAACAACGCCCTACTGGCGTATCTTACAGCTTTCATTCATCGGGCCGCCTACGTCGCCAACAACTAGGTCCTCGAACTCGGTAGCGGTCTGCGGGTCATCTACCTCGCCGGCGGTCATGTCCCCGACCGTGGTATCGGAATCAAGCCTCCCATATATTGCTAAGGCTGCTCCGCGGTTTATCCTGGACCTGCACAGCCTCGGCCACGTCACGTCGTCGATCGAGGCGGCGGGCGTAGGGACATCATGTATGTCTTGAGGCGCCTGTCTTGGGAGAGCCCGGACACCGCCATCTTGCGGATCAGCAGCAAGACAAGTTGGCAGATCCTCCGTATCCTCCGACGCGATGGACAGCTCGATGATGCCCTTGCCCTCTGCGGCCCTCTCATCCAGCACCCGTTCCTGCGCATGGGACTGCGCCACGTCGAGGGCGCGGAGCAGCACGGTGGCCTGCCCGAAGCGCGGCAGGATCCTGCAGGCTCCTGCAGCGCGGCGCGGACGTCCTCGACGTCCGTGGCAGCCCCCCATGCGGGGCTGCGGGGGGGGGGGGGGGCGCGGACGCCCCAGGTGGGGGCGAGCGCGGGGGCCGATGCGCAGGGGCACCCAGCCCGCGCATCTCCCCCGGGCTTCCTGCGTCAGGAGCCCACGGGCTCGGCAGCGGCGGCCATGTCCATGACTGCGGTGGGGACCAGCGGAAGACGGCGGCCTGCGCCCCTGGTGGTGCCCACC